ATTTGGAGCGAAGCTAATCTTCAAGTGTATGTCGAAACACCGTTACATCCAGAAAAACTGACTGTTTGGTGCGCTTTATGGGCTGGTGGAATCACTGGTCCGTACTTCTTCAAAAACGATGATGGCCAGAACGTTACGGTCAATGGTGATCGATATAGAGCTATGATTACTAACTCTTTCATTCCTGAATTGAATAACCATGATGTCCAGGAGATGTGGTTTCAACAAGACGGCGTAACATGACACACAGCTCGTGCCACAATCGATTTATTGAAAGACACTTTTGGTGACCGCCTAATTTCACGTTTTGGACCTCTGAATTGGCTTCCAAGATATTGTAATTTAACAATGCTAGACTACTTTCTGTGGAGCTATGTAAAGTCATTGGTCTATGCGGATAAGCCACAAACGCTTGACCATTTGGAAGACAACATTGCCGATGTACGACCACAAATGTTGGAAAAAGTCATCGAAATTTGGACTACATCCGCGCCAGCCGTGGCGGTCATATGCCAGAAATCATATTTAAAATGTAATGCCACAAGGTTATCTTTCGGATAAATAAAATTCATGTCAATCGAATAATCCATCGTTGTTTTATTGCAACTTAAAGTTCTATACATCGAAAAAAAACACCCCTTACATGTTTTTTTACATTTGCTGGGTGTTAGAGCGTCGTCGGGTTGCAGCAGTATAGATAAAATAAAATAAAATTTTTCAAAAAGGGAACATTGACATGTTACACTATGCTGTGCATCATATTATGCCAGGCATATATTTTGGGCGTATATAATCCCATATCCCAGTTTCTTCTTACCTCCTAACTTTAAATTTAAACTAATATTTATACATTATTCACAAATTTGCCTTTCTTTTTCCTGTAACAGCATAGTATTTCATAGTTTCAAAAACTAGTTTTATTTTTGACTACCACAAAGCTCATAAAAAATACCACGTCTTTCTCATTTTCATCGATCAATAACTTAATGGCTGCAATTCCTGAAAATTCCTAGTCGGGCGCATTCGCGGAAATTTATGCAAACAAAACAGAAACACATCCGGCAACATTAAGATTCCATTTAATATGTTTTCCATTATTAAAACATTCCGTTGAAACTATCTTTTTGTTGGTCCTGCATAGTTGAAGTTTTAGTACCGACGAAACTTGATTACAAACAGACGCATTCTCGCTCGTGGTTCTCTGTAGAAGAAATAATCTTATTCGAGTAGCAAGAATACGAGAACATGCAAACTTTTAAGGAATATTTCCGGATAAAAACCCTATCTTTTGTTTCAAATACGTCTGAAGTGCGGTTTTCGTGAATTAAGTTTTTCGTTTGAGTTTAAGTGGCACACCGAAACTTTAGAGTGGAGTTGAATAAATCAGGAAAAGAGAGCCTCTTCTCCTCAAATTTGTTAGTGATTATACCGACATAATATATTCATCACCAGGGTTTCCACTAAAACTAAAAAAAATAATTTATACAAAAAAGAATCTTCTAACGACAGGCGCACACTAGACTTTAAATCGGCCGGATAGTACCAGTCTCAATCAACAAATTAAAAAAAAAAATTAATAAAAAGCTCATGGGAAACAATTAGCAATTCATTATTACATTTTGGAGAATTTTTATTAAGTTTATATTAAGATAGAATAATATATATATTCTATATTATATATTATATAGAATTATATAAGAAATGAATAATGTTTACAGAAACACGAGAAGAATTATACAAAAAATATATAAAGGTTTGACCATTTCAGTTTTTTGTTTAATAATCATTTTTAATGTATTATACGTTAACTTAAAAATTACTTCGAGTGAGCTTGATAAGATTTTTAATGAATATAGATATCTAGAATTATATGAAAATTATGATAAAGAGAGAAGCAATTATGTCTCCAATATGTCCTCCGTTTAGACACACTAGGAATTTATAAAATAAAAAAATGCTAGACTTGCTGAAGAACGCAACAAAAACAACACAAAAGAATGAAAGAAAAGCCAGTTTGATTTGCCGGCCTTTTTTTCAATTTTATCAGCAAACTAAACAGGATCAAGTTTGCCAAATTTCGTCACTTCACAAACCGAAGTTATTAATCAAGACATTTGAAACCTCCTCTATGACCATGATTTTATTTCTTCATTATAGAGTGGAAGTATTTGCATTGCACTGCATTTTCTTACACCATTACGGGATGAATATAAGAACTCAAAAAATATTTTTGCTCGCAGTCCTACAATTATTAGTTCCCGAGGTATTTTGTACTTGCCTTGTTACCACTAATGAATATGAATATTTCTGAATAGAATGTGTCCTAAGCTTCTTAATTTTACCTAATTTAAGTTTTGATAACAAATGCACTTTTCTGTTGAATTTTAATAAGTTTGACACTGGTACACGCCCTCTGAACAGTAACAGAAACTTTTTGTGGCAGAATATTTTTTATTTGTTAACATGACGTGACATCTATATAGTTCATGTGAGCCTTTCCTGAAAAAGGAGATTAGATATATTTTTAAAAAACATGATTTCTAAACAATTCTGATGGATTAAAAATGAAGCCTATCGCAAGTGACTTAAAACAAAACAAAGAAACTCTAATTTTTTTTTTTACTTGGAATATGGCCCCGTGGTACTATAAATTCTAGTTTGGCAGGTAATATTGCAATGGCCGCCAGGGGGCGTTTTTATTATCTTGAATTTTAAAACTCAATTTCTAACTTTGACCATAATTGCAGTACCATCTTAAAATAGAAAATGGTAGAGGGCGTTCGAACATTTTTTTAAATAAATATCCAAATCTCCAAAACGGCTTAACATATTTGAACAAATTTGGAAAGGTTAAAGAGCTTTTCCTAGACTATAAATCGTGCTATGTGTGATGGGACTGTGATTTCCTAGGTAGATTTCCTAGGTGGATTTTTTCGACATTCGCAAAAAATGTATTTTCTATGTCATTAGATAGTCAAATAAGGGCCCAACAACCCAATGAAAATTGCATCTCAATATCTTTATCCCAACCTAAAAATAAATATTGTTTTCAATATATGAATACGGGTTTTTATTGATTTCTAAGTATTCCGAATTTATCAAATAAAACACTAATTTATTATTTAGAATTGGGAATGATATTTCAAATCAAAACAAAATATTATTAATTTAAAGAAACTTCCACAGGATGATTATCGAAACGTTAACAATTTCGACTCAACAAAACCGACGCAGGAATAATCCAGACGTTATTATTTATTATTTATTTTTATTTATTATTATTAATTATTACTTATCTGTATTAATTTTTGACAATACAATCGAAGGGCACCGCTTTTAAGAACTTAGTTTTAGCACTTATTCATTATTCATTAATAATTAGGTTTAGTAAACTAACCAATTGTTGAAGAGTAACAATTTTAAAAATTATTAAATTATTTAAGTACCATAATGTGTATTAAAATAATGAGTATTTTTCTTCGATCCTAAATCGTCGATTCGTTCTAGGTACTTTAAGGTACTTTTAGGTACTAGGTTTAAATAAGATAATTTTAATGCAATAAATATTTAACAAATATAAACTAATTAAAACGCTAGATCGTCAAGAGAATTTGGCAAACATCAGGACGTGATGATGCATAACGTTTGGTCAGATAACAACAAATTTTGTTTTCAATTTTCACAATTATTTTATTACTTTTATTTTATTTATTTATTTAGTGATCGAAGCGGTGATAATAAATAATAATAACAGCATGCCAAAATGAAGGAAAAAAATAGTTTTATTTTAAATATCATTTGACATAAATGCAAATTAGCGTGTATTTGGTAAATTCGAAATAAAACATTGATAACAACCCTTAAAATCATTTTTTGTTACAAAATCCAATTTTGATTAATATTTTAGGTTAGGATAAAGAAATTGAGGTGCGGTTTTTACTGCTTTGTTGAACCATTATTTAGCTATTTACTCATTATGTTGCATATATTATTTTTCCAGAAAATTAATGTTTTGCGATTATATCAGATAAATCCACCTAGTGGCAAGATAAGCAACAACAATAGCGTTGTTCATAGCACTATTTATAGCCTATGACAAGTCTTTTTTAACGACTCCACTTCAACTAGGGTTAACATTTGAAAATTTTGCAGAATCTGTGTTTTAAATTTCAAGATAACAATATCGCTCCCTGCTGGCCTTTTCAGAAACTCAAAAATAGTTTCCAGCATTTTGTTTTTATTTTACTTAATAAATTTTGTTTTTTATATTTCAATGACCATATGTTAACCTAATACTGTACCTCGTCGCCCATACTGGGACAATTACCTCTTCAAAATCAAAGATTCACCCCTGTGGTAATCCTTCTTAAGCATCCTCTACCGATGAAGCTATGAACACTCTCTTTGAAAAACACTGGTGTAATGCAATTAATTATTCTTTATTCTTCATTTTACCAGTAAAAATAAAAGGAATCGTCTTAGTTAATATAAATATAAATTGGATTCACTCTGTTCGTAGGTATTTACCGGATACATATTTGCAATAAAAAAATAATAACAATGATATAGACATTTTCCTCCGGAGCTTTTAAGGGCAGTAGGTTGACGGTTGGTACAATCATATCCGAAATAATTATTTTAAATGCAATTGGGTTGTTTTAAGTTTATATTTTAGTTCTTCGAAACTTATAATAAGAAACCACATTTAATATTCATTATTTTTCTGGTGTTAGATAATTAGTTTTATATAATACTAATATATTATGTACTAATAACAGCACAACAATTAAAAGGAGAAATATTCTCCTGATTTTCATTAGGCCACACTTAAACATTTTCATTGGAATTGTGAACGTTGGCGTATTCTTAATAATCCGCCGCTTTTGATTTAACGATCGCCTCCTTTGGCAACTTCAATTCGAATATTCATGAACGCTTTTGTGATTGAGAATTCATTGACTACACTAGAAAAGGTTTATCGTTAAATTGTCCTTTTACAGGAGCTGTCGGCGGAGATGATGATAGTGACGACAAAGAAAAGGAGGAGGAGGCCGAACGGGAACGGCTGGAGGCAATCCGAGAAGCCGAAGAAAGGAGAAAGGAAAAACACAGAAAAATGGAAGAGGAGAGGGAGAAGATGAGGCAAGAGATTAGAGACAAGGTCGGTATTTAACGTCAGATAAATGTGGTAGTAGTACATCATGTACATTTTCCTAAACGAGGTATGGGATTATTGAAAGTTATCTATAAAAATGGTCCCTCGGAAGTTTTCGCTGCTAACCACAATGACTGAATTTTAAAACCAATGGAAGCTCTAATTTGTAATTTTCAATTTCATATCAATTTTGAAAATAGGCACCTAGCACCTAAGCCTCACCTACTTATATAAGCTGCTACTCAAGAATATGTTTTGTCTGCATACAGAGTGATGCAAATTTGAAACAATGTTCTAATAGAAGTTATATAAAATCAAAACCAAAATACAGAATATTTCACAATAGGTTCGCAATAAATAAAGGTTTTTTAATAGAACTCCGTATATATTTTTTTGTGTTTGTTGTTATCTATTAATTGAGAGTTTATTATATTCGCTAATACATGTTTGTTTAAATTAGAATCGTTAATGTCCTTAATTGCTAATTCACAATCGATCCCTAAACAGTCTAATTCTCTATTAATGTACGACTGTTGGTTGCAAGTTAAAGTTGAAACCTTTTCCCAGAAATTCAACTTCATTTTCAGAAAATGTTGTGTCTGTTAAGTTTATGAACCTGTTGTAAAATTGGTGGTCGGTATACTTTGTAATAACTGGCCTGCTTTCAGCCATTTTTGAATTAGAAATTAATTTGCTTGTTTAGTTTTTGTTTAATAAACTTTTTATGAATGATAGATGAAATGTCTGTTCGAACTTTATAATCAAATGTGTCAAATTCTAGAGGATTAAGTGAGAATGTCATAAACCTTCACACACGGACACAGTCATACATAACAACTCAAATCACCCTTATATCCTTATATAAATTATAAATAGAAAACAAATCCAGACAATAGTAAACTCTATTTATCCGAAACCTAATACAGAACACGAACAATTTAAAAAATTACATACATAGGACAACCTAGTGAAAAAGTTTCAAAATATTTGTCAAAATGTGGTTTAAAAATAGCTTTCCGGACTAACAACACAATAGGAAAATATTTGAAAAGCAATAAAACGAAAAGTCTACGAACTACAGGTTGAAATGCGGATCTTGTCCTAAAATTTATATTGGACAAACAAAAAACGCATTAACGAACATGAAAGAGCGTTTAGAAACAATAGTCTGGATTCTAATTATGCTACACACTTAAATACAGAAAAACACATTTTTGACGACAATTTTGATATTTTGTGCATACAGTCACAAAAAGTAGAAAATTAAATTTATTGGAAGCAATGGAGATTAACAAAATGAGACATTCAAATGTATTGCTTAACGATCAATTAGATTTAAATACCTCTCCTTTATTAAACTGAAATTCTCACAAGAACATTAATTATGGTTTTATGGTCATTTTTCCGTATATATAGTAGCAGGTAGTTTGTAAATATTACATTTGATAAAGATACGGTGTTGTCGAAACAATTGTCATGTCAAAATATATAATTTCGTGAAAATCTGAACTTTTAGTTCTTATTTATTTTGATAAATGGATTTTCATCAAGTAAAAGCCACCTCAGTTCAATGACTGGACTAGCTTTGTACGACACGAGTTCTTGGAACGCAGATAAGTTCGTGCCACCATCGGGTTTAACCCATTCAGCTTGCTGGTCATAATAATGAAAATAAACCTAATATGTTCAAATACATTATTAACAGTTTAGTATAGTGACCAAATAATTATATTATACCAGAGATTTTTGAACTCTCGCCAACTTGACGAAATTTTAACTATTTTTTTTTATTTTTTAAACGGAACACCCTGTATTTAACTCATATCGCCTGTCTACTGGTTTTGTTAAGGTTTTTCCATACTACCAATGTAAGTTTCACTATCTATAAATTGAAAATCGTACATTTACATTTTTAATTTGAATATTCGATTTAATATGCTATTTGCTCAAAATAGAATATTAGGGAATAGGTGTTGTAAACGTTTGCAATGAGCGACTGCTTAGTAAATAAGTGACTTAAGTGAGACCGTTAGTTTTTGTCAAGATTTTTGCAAAACAACACGAATACATTACCACGCGGGGTTGGGAGCAATCGGATGTTCTCGGAGATATTACCCAGGGCTTGAATTTTGGCGTTTGTTTGTTTGACGGTCATTTGAATGTATTCGTGTTGTTTTGCAAAAATTGTACCAAAAACTAACGGTCGTAGAAAAAGTATAGTATGCAACACGTTCGGTAAGCTTTTTATGTCACTGTAAACCGTCTACAACAAAGGGAAAAGAAACGAGAGACAGGAAGTTTTGTCAAAATGTGAGTTACGATTTCTAGAGAAATGTTGAACTTTGTATTCATGATGGTATTGGTAGAATTCTTGAACAACCAATTACTCAGTTGCACTTTTCTATCTAAAACAAAACTGTTAAATTAATTTTTCTCCTCACTTCTGCAAAATACCTAATTATACTAGCATGCCGGAAGCGTGACTTTAGCACGTCAGTTTCTTGCTAACGGTTGTAGTATAGTATGCAACATGTTTCCTAAACTTTTTAAGTCACTAGTTTATTAAACACTCGCTCCGTTGCGCTCCGCTTGTGCCATATATACGCGTGACTCAAATACCATTTACCACACTTGTTGCATAATATACTATTATTATTTCCAACTGTATCTTTATTTCTCTGCGAATAATTAACAAATATCCTCTTTAACGACTTATTTTTGGCAAATAGAAACAAATAATAATGCATTTGACTATAATAAGGTCAATTTTTATATTATAAAATAAGTAGAGATCATAAGAAAAATGTTTTTTTTAAGAAATCTATTTTTCCCAGCAAGTTGGCAACTTCAAATTCAAAAGCAATGTAACACTTTATAGAAACCATTGAATATATTTTTAAAATATTTTATTTTATAGTGATTAATATTGCGCATATAGCTAGCCATTTTTTTACATTTAATTTTACCTAGGTGGGGCTTACTCACGATATCGATTTTCTCGAATTACTGGGTAATACATGGTAAACCAGGAGAGAATAGTTATCCCTCCTGAAAATTGCGGTCGCCAAATTCTAGCCGACCTTAAAAAGTTGACCGGCTGTAGACGTGTTAACGGTCACTTAATCCAAATGGACGAAAATAAATGGACAATGTAATATCCTCTCCTGGTTTTCTCTTTTGGGGGTCAACTAGGACCCAAGGACGGTACACGAATTTATTTCCGCCAGTTAGCGGGTGAAGAGATATAGCCGATCTATCGAAATAATTAAAAATGCAAATGTGTTAACATCGACCACCCCTAATATGAAACTCGGCTACCGCATCTCAAGGTACGGATCGGGTACGGACAACAGAAGTACGAAATCATAATTTATCACAGGTAAAATATTCTAGATAATCGACGTAATTTTGAAATTATCTCAGTAATTCTCTTAATGTAATTTGGATAAATTTATTGCTCCCAGATGATTCTTGGTGTAAAAGTTTGGCTGGTTCTTCCATTTGAGACAAGAGGTCATAGTTATATACGTGCTATCTAAAGATATTTCGACCGTGGGTAGGAAATCTTCTTGAACGTGGATTTTCAAAATTTGATGTAATGAACGGTAGATCTGAGTGAGTACAGTGTGGGATATGGTGCACCGGGTGACCATTAAGTTTATAGAATGGCCGCCGGGAGACGTATCGCATTCTTGAATGTTGTTCAAACATTTTCAGAAATATATTTCAATAACTCCAGAATGACTGGATGCATTTTGTCAAACTTGTAGTTATTGCAAAGGGTTATTTTTAGGCTATCAGCGCTGCCTTTATCAAATTGATTTAGATTGCTTATAGCGTCGCACGAATTTTTTTAAATCCAAGAATGCTTTGGAAAAAAAATAGCAAAAATTATAATGGTGGTGTTCGAGTTCCAATCATATTAGCATTGCAGCGATTGGTAGCTTATTTTTTCTGCCTTATTTATGGTAAAATACAGTTTTTACCTAGATGGAATTGATATGTTTATTTTCAAAATATTAAAAATGGTTTCTGTTAAAATCTATGCCGTGGAATATCTTGCATTATAGCGAAAAAATCTTAATGTTTTACTTCTATTATTGTTTTTCATTATTGTAAAATATTGCATTGAGTTGTTCAGTCAATGAAAAAAATTAACTATTATTGACATTTTAAATATAATGTTGGCGTTTAACAGTAAATTTGTATATTTACTAAAATAACAAATATGAATATTTACTAATAATTAAAATATTTTCAAAGATGGCGACATTATTTTGTTTTTATTTCTTTTGCGAGTTAGGAAAGATATATCAAATTGCGGTTTTCACTAGCGTGTCAGACTATTACTTAGCTACACTTTGATGCAATAAGACCGAAAATATAATTTTTATTTGTAGTGATGTCGCAAAACCCCCTCTAGCCGCGATATAAGCAATTGGAATCATTCCGCTCAGGGCAGCGTTGATAGTTTAAGAAGAGCCCTTTTCAACGAGTCCAAATTTGACAAAATGCGATCAGCCATTCTTAAGTTATTGACTTTTATTAACGAAAATGTTCGGACACCCCCTTCTGATGAAATAGGACCAAAAGTAACTAACCAAAACTATTCTATGGAAAAAATTCGAACTCGAGAATGCGATTACGCAACCTGATGCCGCTTTAGTAATATCTAAGTTTTTTGACACCAAGTCTCTACGACAATTACAAGATGCGGTCCAGTGCCATTCTTGAATGGCCACCTGGCACAGGGGGACTCGTTTATTATTGCTATTAATATTATTATTATATTATTTATTTATTATTACCTTTTTCCATAATCTATTATTTTTTTTTTAAATATTAAGTTCTTACGTTCTCTGAAATCATTTATTTGTATTTTCGTGAACTTTTTTGAATTCTTCGGAGAACTCTATACATATACATATATACATATATATATATATATATATATATATATATATATATATATATATATATATATATATATATATATATATATATAT